TGAAGGAAGGAAGGACAAATTAGGAGAAGACTAAAAAGCCGAGAAGCCTTAAAAAATTTTTTTCTTTGAAGGAATTAAGAGTCAACCTATAAATTCTTAGGGGAAAAAAAATCAGGACAAGTAATCAAAGAATTATCTAAGGTTCTTTCTTTTGTTTTGTTTTTTCCTATGACACTGATGTTGCCTTTTTGTAACGCTGGGAACTATATTAAGTACAGCTTTGGCAAACATGTTGGCAGGCCTTAATATTCCTTAAGCACAGAGTTGGCATCATTCAAAATCACTACAGTATCAAAATGTGACTGCAGGCAAGAGTAACTCTTATATGCAATACTTACCCAAATGGAAATACCATTAAATTTCACCTTTACTATGGATGTATGTGTGAATTCGTATGCATGTGCATGTCAAATCCTGTGACTTAGTAAAAAGGGGCTATTTTCTTCTTCCTCTATTCAGGGTTCAATCCTCCCAGGTCAAAATCTTTTACTTTCCAAAACAATAGGGAGTGGTGGTACCCCATGGCTAGATGATGATTCCAAACAATAGGTGTTTCAGAGTCTGGGTTTATTGAAATGGTCTTGTCTGTGTCCTGGGGGAGATTGTAAATGAGATGTCGTAGGACTTCTTTTGTGCAGATGGCATTCATCCCGAAGTGGGGGAATTTCCTTAGGTGCCAGTATTTAAAGCTGATTTGCTACTCTTAGCTAAAACTTTTTTTTAATCAAACTCCCAGAGCTAACTGCAATGAATGAGTCATTTGGTGTGATTGTAACTTCCTCCCCATCTAAGCAATGACTCAGTAATTTACATTTAGAAAGGAAAGCTCCTAAGAAGATTCCTCCTAGGATTTTCTGGAGGGTTTGATCCTCTTTTTCCAGACCATCACGTGGGCCTGAGCTGTCAGCAATCCGGTTAACCCTGGGGGAGACGAGCAAAGTTGTTTTTCTCACTGGTAGGAAAACTTTGGATGGTTTGGCTTGCTTGGTTTTTGAAATCCTAAGGAGAAAAGCAGATACAATTTTCTGCCTGAAGCCTTTTTCTTTTTTCTAACCTCCACCTCCCAGTTGTTGGGGTTTTTTTCTTTTTTCTTTTTTTTGTAAATGACTGACAATTTCAGTTTACAATAATTATAGTGAGCAGAGGTTTAGCTAACTCCTTCCCTAGCAGATAAGGCAACAGTTTTATTACCTCTCAGACAGGTGCCGGAGGATAACTAGACTAGCCTTAAGATAAGGTTATCAATAACTGCAAATGGGTTGAACCTTTGAGCTGTAGCCATCAAAACACTCCCAATCAACCCCAACTCCAACACCTCTCAGGAAAGTCTTTTCAATCCAAATAGTAGCTCTCATTTTCTCTAGGGTTTCCTCCCCTCATTCCTGCACCAAAGTTCTTAGACTGCTGCTGAAATTTCTTTTTCTTCTAGTCAATGGAAAGGAAAATTGCCAAATTCCCTAAGTGCTGTCTGGGCAGGGTATAAGGATTCCAATCCTTACCTTCTGTTTTACTCCAAAGCAGACTGAACCCTAGGTCATTGAGCTGTGGGAGAATGCAAGTACCAATAGATCTTCACCAAAATGTTAAGTCATGTTATGAAGTTAGTTAAACATTATACTACAGCATACAGTCTGTCAGTGTCCTTTAGGTAATTAAAATTGTCATAAACTTAATAAAAGATAAATGTGGGTTTGTGTCTTGAGTTGGTTTAACATACACACAGTTTAACACACCATCCATGAGACTGAACTACGTCTTAGGATCGAAGAACAAACTAACAACTATGAGCTCTGCCCTCAAAAAGCTTACATTCTATAATAAGTATTGGTGCTTATGAAAATCCAGAAATTAGTTCTTTTACTACTTACCATTTACAGTTTTTATAATTTTACTATTTATAGGTTTTTTCCTATTTCCTGCTTACTATTTAGTTTTTCTTAATTATTACTTACTATTAATGGTTTTTCCTACTTTACTATTTAGTTTTTCTTAATTATTACTTACTATTTATAGTTTTTCCTATTTATTACTTACTATTTATAGTTTTCTCCTATTTATTACTTACTATTCACAGATTCTTTTGAGAACTTAATAAAATAAACACCAGGCAACCACAGATAGAGCTCTTTTCACTCCAGGGTATTTGTTTCATGATAAAAGGCATATATATCTTCCTGTGTCTGTCTCCTTTAATTTAAGGTATGCGCACAGAAATGCCAATTTTCTCTTATGTCTCCACGCAACACTTTTTTTTTAAGAGGCATTTTCCAAGTCCATGTTCAAATATGTCTGATGGGTCTATAACTCTAATGAATGCAGAATGCTGTTTCCAGATAAACCTTCTGGAGCCTTCCTTAAGCTACATTAAATGAGTCTTGGCACTTAGCCTGAGCCTTGGGTAGAGCAAGCCTCTCAGAGGTCCAAACGTGCAGTAACAGTTTATGGTAGGCTAAAAGAAAGGAATGTGTGCATTATTTTGTTTGCTATCTGTGTAGGACAGGCTCTGTGAAGAAAAAATGTCAACTAATAAATTTAGAAAATTTATCCGTAAAGATGCATCAAACTATTCTGCATAGTGGCTTAATGAAATCATGTGAGTTCGGTGTGGACAACTGCCTGTATAAAAGAGTGCCCAAAAGCACACACTGTTACCACTAGATCTAAATGGATGAATCTGAGCAGAAAGGCTAGTGCAAAGAATGCTGGGGTTGAACTTTTCAGCTCCTTTTTCTGTGTTTTCTTCGCCTATTAGAAGATAAAGGTGTCTTTTTTTCCTTACCTGCATTTTTATCCCTAGGAAATAGCAGTGTCTTGTCTAACAAATAGTAAGCCTGGCCCAATTAGCCCTTTCTATGAGGCCCTGGCAGTATCAGAAGTATTTTAAAATCCGATCTACAGTTCTTCTTTTTTAATTTAAAAGACATATAGAACTTATGACCCACTTTACATAGGATGTTATGGGAATGCTAGATATGGAAACTGTAGGTGTGCCTTTGGTAGGCCAGGGACTAAGCAAACTCATAGCCTAGAACAGAGATTCTTAACCTGTTTTGTGTCATGGACTCCCCCTTTGACAATCAGATGAATGTTTTGGATTAACCCCTTCTGAAAATAATATTTTTTTCTTCTGTTGTTTTATTTTTATTTTCTATTTTTAAAAACTTAAATACCTAGACAAAAAAGAGAATATTTCCATGTACAACATAAAAAGGATTCACTATGAAACTGTGAGTTTACATTTCACACTGTTTACTTTATAAATATATATATATAAGTACTACACATCATTTTCAAAGCAACTCTGCTTTTTATGCTTCCTTCTAAATTTTCTTTTATTGTCTGCTGTGTACTTTTTATACTTTTTTCTTTCCCTTTCCACCCTACCCTAGAGAAGGCTATCATTAGACATGAACATGTATATATGTAGAAGCATATTATACATACTTCTGTTTATCAATTATTTCTCTAGAGGCAGATAGCATCTTCCTTCATAGGTGTTTTGTAGTTGATTTGAATATTTATAATATTCAAAATTACTTATTCTATCAAAGTGGTTTTTAAAACAATATTGAAGCGGGGGGGGAAGTAGGTAGCACAGTGGAGAGCACTGGCTCTAGAGTCAGGAGGACCCGAGTTCAACTTCAGCCTCAGACACATAACATTCCCTAGCTGTGTGACTCTGGGCAAGTCACTTAACCCCAAATGCTTCACAAAACAAAACAAAAAACCAATATCACTCTTACAATATGCAACATTCTCTTGATTCTGCACATTTTCCTCTTCATTGTTTCATAAGTCTTTCCATGTTTTTCTAAAATCATTGAACTCATCATTTCTTATAGCAAAGTAGTATTCGATCACGATTATATACCACAATTTGTTTAGCCATTCCCCAAGTGATGGGCATCCCTACAATTTCCAGTTCTTTGCCACTACAAAAAGAGCTGCTATAAGTATTTTAGAACATGTAGGCTCTTTTCCTTTTTCCCTAATCATCTTGGGAAACAGACCTAACAGTAGCATTGCTGGGTCAAAGGGTATAGAGAGTTTAGTAACTCTTTGGAATAATTCCAGAGAATAATATTTTTAAATGCATAAAACACATAGGATTACAAACAAAATCAATTATATTGAAATATCATTCCAAAACAACTTTATTCACATACTTCAGATTAAGAACCCCTGGCTCAGAAGCCCACAACTCTGGTCATTTACTATAATCTTCCCAACGGAAGGGCTGAGCTGGCCTTCCTCCAAAATGTTCCAAGATTTCCATAGGAAGAGGGAATAGAGCAGAAAGTAGAGTGTCAGGAGATCTAGGCTCTGGTTTTAACTACCATCAACTAGCTTTCTGACCCTGAGCAATTGATTCACTTAGGTTCAATTTCTTCACCTGTAAAATGAGATGGTTAGGCCACTTAGATTCTAAAGTTCCTTTCGGCTCTAAAATGACATGGTTTTTGTTTCTTTGGAAGAAACAGTAAAATCACAAGTTTAGAGCACTTGCCTTTATCCTTTTTCAAGAAACCATGATTAAAATCAACCCTAGCATGACATCCTAAACTGTTTAGTAGCCTCTCATAATACTTGGGATTTTTTTTTTATCCTTGAGACAAGTATAATTTCCTGATATAGCATCAGACCTTTGCTGTGCCAGTAAACTCTCACTCTTGTCTCTCACACTGAATTTAGCAGCAGCTCCAGGGTAGCAGAAATGTCATGGGGCCTGGAAGTAAGGAGATGGGGCATAGTCACAGTTTTGCCACTGACAGACTATATGGTCAGCAGCAACTAAGTGGTACAATGGATAGAGCACCAGCTCTGGAGTCAGGAGGACCTCAGTTCAAATCCAGCTTCAAACACTAGCTGTGTGACTCTGGGCAAGTCATTTAACACCATTGCCTCCCTCCTAACCCCCCCCCAAAAAAATTATACAGTCTTAGGCAGCAGCTAGGTAGTGTAGTACATGGAATCAGGAATATTTGAGCTCAAATCTGGCCTCACACTGGCTGTGTGAACCTGGACAAGCCATTTAACTTGCCTGCCTCAGTTTCCTCATCTGTAAATTCAGGATGATAATATAGCACCTATCTATACTGTTGTTGTGAGATTAAAGTTAGATAAAATACTTTGTAATGCCTGGCACACAGTAGGCATTTAATAAATGCTTGTTTCTTTCCTTTACCTTTCTTGAAAATAAAGGAGTTGGATTGATTTCTGAGGTCCTTTTCAGCTGTAATAGACAGGCAGCTGGGTGTGGTGAATAGAGCTGACACTTGGAAGACCTCAGTTCAAGCCTTAACTCTGACCCACACAGGATATGAGACACTAGGCAAGTCAGTGCTCTATCACAGCTAAGTCTATGTAATGATATAGAGAAGGTATAAACTTACACCAGAAGAGTTTCCTTACCTGAGAGTTTTCCTATTCTAATGAAATTCCAGGACCAGACTCTATCCTTCCAGCTATAAAATTCTATAATTCTGTTTTTTTGGGGACCAGAAAATGTCTGGAATTTTAACTGGACTAAATCATAGACGTCAATAATATTCCATTTGTTGCCCCAAATTTAAATACATGTGTGTTTGTGTATACACATACATATATATCCTAATAAAGGAAACAGTAGGGTAAATAATTAACAGGGTAATTAAAATACAACAGTATTCCCATACAGCCCTGAATCCTAAGTAAAAAACAATTAAATTCAACAAACATTTATTAAGGGCATACTACATCCAGGATACCATGCTTGGCTCTGGATAACTATTTATTTCATTTGGCCTTAACCAACAGGAAGGATGAATATTCGATGTATTCATTTTCTTTTTTTCTTTACTTACATGGATATCCTGTTTTCCCAAGCTTATGGGTTTGGCTTTGTATTGTGTAAAAGCCTTCCTGTCTGATCTCCCCTGCTTTCCCCCATCTGCCTGATGTAACATCATACTGCTGCTTTTACAAAAGTGATGCCCTCTTCCCAATAGCTCATTAGTTTACAGGCACTTTGTCAGTGAGCATTTTTACTTTGTTTGTCACATGGTGTGATATTACTGAGGAGGCATTACCGCCCCTCTCCCTTTTCAGTTAGTCACCAGCTGTCAGGCTGGGTGGGATGATTTCATTCTTGATCGTTTCATCTACTCCAGGCTTTGAGATCACTTCTGTCAGGTGATAACCAATTCTCCTGAAATAATAAAGTCATAAAGTGAACACAGCTTTTAACCCTCAGATGTCTTCCTATGCCTTGCTCGGGCAGACAGGGGAAAAAGAGAAAGGCAGGTGTGCCAAAAGCTAAGGAGAGAGAATAAAGATTGAATGCCAATTACATCAAGAAAAGGACATGCATACCTATCTCTAGGTAAAGCAAAATAGAAAGAACTGAGGGTAAAAATCATACCAACAAACAGTGTGAGGGAAGCTAAGGCTGGTGGATTGCTTTAGTTCTGAGCTACAGTACAGCTAAAACCAACTGGGTATCTTGCCCAAGTTTAGCATCATTATGTTGAGCCCTTGGGAATGTGGGGTGCCAGGCAAATCAGCCCAGGTTGAAAAGAAAATAGGTCAAAGCTTCAATACAAAACCAAGGAGGGAAGGAGATGGGAGGAAGGGAAGGAAGGATGAGTGAGGGAAAGGAGGAGGGAGGGAAGGAAGGAGGGAGAGTAGGAACAAAGGAGGGAAGGAGGGACTCAGGGTTAGAGTGTAGGGTTAGTTACATCAAAGGCTGAACTGTCTCCAGACATTTTCCCTGGCAAGTGGGAGGGACAGGCTGGCCTGGGTTTGGGGCAGGGCCCAGTAGGAAGCACTTAGGGACAGAGGTAGAATGTAAAGTTAGTTATGTATCAGGCAGTTCTTCAGAGAATAGGAAAGTATTTCCACCTACATCCTGCCAAGCCAGTATCCTTCCACCTCTTACCTCTGGTTTTCTTCATTTTGAGTTCCTGATTCTTTTCTTCCAGGACAGCTCTTCTCTTACCTGTTGCTGAACACCTACCCCATGCACAGACAAAAGCAGCCCTGGTGTGCAAAGATTGTAACCAGTTAACTAGGAACTGTGGCATCTTGTAAAAGGTGAAACAGACCAATGAGCAATCCCTCTTCATTTCCATTATATTACCCAGAGTGAATCCTCCTCTTCATCAGATCTATTAATGCAAACCAAGATAGTCTACCTAAATCTGCAGTACTAGCATTGGCCCATCTCAGTATCCCTGATCTATCCCTCCCCTTTAGCAAGTATTTATTAAGAACTATTCAACAAGGCACCATGCCAGACAAAGAGGACAGAAAGATTAAAAAAAAAGTCTTGGTCCTCAGGGAACTCACATTCTAATAAGAGGGCTATAGTCCCACACATGGTAAATCTGATACAAGATAAGGGTGTGATGGAGTCAAAGGAGAGGGAGTAGATAGGAAACTTTCCTGAAAGATGTAGTACCTGAGCTGAGCGTTGAAAGAAAATTATTTTAACAGGTATAAATATAGATTGGTTCTACACTAACATTTTACTGGTGTTACTATATGGCAGCAAAATGGAAATATCACTGCCTCTGAAATATTAAAGATGACTGTCACACATAGAGAGGAGTAGAGAGATAAAGGACAGGCATATAACCAGACACATAACTGACAAGGAACTCTGAAGATGAACAAGCGTAAAGGATGTCATCAAGGAATTTATGACAAGATTGGTGATGTTACAAGAGAGCAATGAGAGGTGGAGAGCCTGAGTGCTCTACTGTATCCTTGTAATGTCTAGAAGAAAGTGAAGAAGGCTTCTAACACACTGGGTGAAGCCCTGCTGGTGAATATTTAGGAAAAAAATAGACAAATGTTGAACAGGGTGGGCAGGCCTAGATGGTTACAATTGACATTACTGAAGGGAACTCTCAAACTGATGAGTTCACAGATTCATTTCAATATGTGGGATGAGGAGGGCCTGCATTGTAGGATTGGGGAAGAATGAGAGAGTCCTGAAGCAGCAGATGGCATTCAAAGTTCCAAACCAGAACGGTTTGGCTGGAACATAGGATAAGGTTGAAAGGAGACTAACCATGAAATAAGGTTGGAAAGGTAGGCTGGAGCCAGATTGTTGAAGGTTTCAAATGAAGGACTAAGGAGCTTCTATTTTATCCAACTGGGAATTACTGAAGATTTTTGAATGAGAGAATAACAACATCCGACCTGTGCATTAGTAACTTACAGAAGGATAAATTCAGTTTTAGGTATGTTAGATGCCAAAGGGACAGTTGTGTGGAAATGGCCAGCAGGCAGCTGGCCGGGCGTCTGAAATTCAGGAAGGTTAGAAATTGATGAATTAGGTATCATCTGCACAGAGGTAGTCATGAAATGCATGGGAGATCATTATGGGGAAAGAATGTAAAGAGGGCCCAGGGCAGAACTTTGTAGAACACCTACACTTAGGGTACTACAGATGAGGTTAAGCAGGTAGGGTCTGATTGAGGAACTAGGAAAGAACAGTATTAAGAAATGCCTAGAGACAAAGAAGAGGGAACCAGTTCAACATTGTCAAATGCAGAAAGGTTAAAAAAAAAACTGAGAAAGATATCATTACTGATCAAGCAACTGGTGGATAAGGTACAATAAGGTAGGAAGACTGGAAGAGACAAAAAAAAGAAAATGGAAAAGATGTAGGGCAAAAGCTTGAGGGGATAGAAAGGTGAAGAAAAGTGTAGCTTTTTGTTTTGATTTTTTTTAAGATAGGGAAGATTCAGTGTTTGTGGAAAGAGGGTAGGAGTCAACAGACTGGGGGAGCTAGGAGAGCCTGAAAAAGAGAGAAGGGGATTCTCCATCGGGGAAGGCTTCCAAAGAAGGCAGGAAATGCAATCAAGGGCACCAATGACCTTGGCAAGACGTGCCACTTCATCTTTTGAGGGTGAAACAAAAGAGAAAAGGATGGGTGAAGTTTATACCTTCTGAAATAAAGGAGATTATTAGAGAGCCCTCTACAGATTATATGAATCTTTTCAATGAAGAGAGGAAAACAGTCATTTACTGGAGGAGGGAGTTATAGGCTAGCAGAGATAGGAAAAGATTTATAATAGCCTCTATGAGGAGCTCTCCAATAGGGAAAAAAAGATTGCAGTTCAGTTGTAAGAGCCTAGTTGAGGTTTGTAAGAGACTTAATCCATAAAGTTTCCTGACTTCTTCTAGCACCATGTAGGCACAGAAAAGGTAAATGGTGGGGATGAACTAGGCTAACAGGTATATAAATAGTGAAAAGACAAAGGGGTAAGAGAATCAAAGGTGAAAAGCAAGGCCAGAATAGGGATAATGGATTGGAAGACCTGTGGAGGATTAAGGAATAAGACAGTAGTTGCAGTAAGGACAAAAATCAGGTTTTGGTGTAGTGAGTGAGACAATGAGAAAGGTAGAATAAGAGACTGTGATCAATGAGGGGAGGGTGAGATTTCAGAGTTTCAGATGTTAGAGGTGGAACAGTTTCAGGTGATGGTGGGGGTATAAGATGCGACCGTCCCCTATGAGTACATGAGATAGAATGGAGATAGGATCATGGGAGTTGAGGAAGTCGATGAACTGGAAGGAAATTGTGTTTAGAATCATCATAAATGTGAATAATGAAGTCACCAAGTTTTGAGGACTTCCAACTCATTAAGTATGGAAAACCTGAAGACTATCCAGACCGCATTTGGGGAAATACAATGCTGAAAAAATACCTTGGGACAGCTAAGTGGCAGTAGATAGAGCTCCGGACCTGGAGTCAGGAGGACCTGAGTTCAATTCAGGCCTCAGACACATAACACTTACTAGCTGTGTGATCCTGGGCAAATCACTTAACCCTGATTGCCTCATCAAAAAGCCAAAAACTGATAAATAAACAAATGAAATTTTAAAAAATACCTTGATACACTCCAAGTAGTACAACTGATTCAATAGGTAGAATTTTTTCTGCCTCATAGATTATAGCATTTTTAAAGCTAGAAAGGGATTCCCCTTAAAGTGATGTATAGGGATAGGGGCTAGACCTGAGATTTCATTGGCAGAGGCAACATCCAGCTGAGGAAACTTCCTCTACCTTTCTCTTACTCTTTTTTTTTGTAAATCTTTTTAATTTTAAACTAAAATACAAAATGAGAAGAGAAAAAAATAAAACATTGCCGTGTACACAGCAGACCACTAGAGGATTCAATATAAAACAATAAGTTTTCATTTCAAGAAAACCTATATAATAAACACTACACATAGTATTCAAAGCTTCCCAGCTTTTCTTTGCTTCCTTGTTGGTTTTCTTTTGTTCTCTACTATGTACTTTATTTTTCCCCCTCCCCCCTCCCACCACCCTAAAGAAGCAATTTTGTGAGACAGATGCAATCGGGACTTCTTCCCGTATTTAGAGATTGTGACTGGCCCACAGACGTGGTGTCAGAAGAAAAGCTTTAAGCCACTCTATCCAGAGCACCTCTTTTCACGGTTGTCTTTTGAAAACAGTTTAGAAAGCAATTAGCCTTAAATAGAAATATCTCTTTCTAACACTGTTTGACCTGTTGCTAAGCACTATTATTCCTCTTTAAAAATACTCCAACTCAACATTAAACACGCCTAGACTTTATCCCAGGACCAGGGCCATCTAAAGTGACCTGCCCACAAACACCACTTTATCTTCTTTAAATAAACAGAAATAAAGGTCTGAATAAGATGTATGTTTAGCAGACAGTCTGTCTGAACTTCTTTTCCTAGACTTCTCGTTTGAAATATGCTAGATGGAGAAAGCGCAGCACCACAAACAAATCAATAAAGCCTAACTTTTGTGAGAAAAGGGTTAACTTCGGAGGATTACCAATCCAGCTCGTCTATTAGCATCTGAATGTGCTTACCCCCACAAGCCCAAGGGCTCGGTAAAAGTCGGGGGGAGGGAGAGGTTTCCCTGCTTTCCTCAGGCTGCCTTTAAATCCTACCTAAGCATTCCTTAGGTCAGACCAGCTGGAAGGCAAATATGCAAATCAGCCAGGGCCCCAAGAAACAAAGCTGCAAAAATCTTGATGCGAGATAAAAATGGAAAAAGCCAGGTCCAGCGCTGGCAGGGATTCCGTCCTTCTGGAGCCACCAGGTAGAATCCACTCTTCCAACACGGGTATATGCAGGTGCAGCTGATTCTCTTCTCGTCCGGTAAAAACTGTTAAGTTTAAAAAAAAAAAACAACAACCCAGCAACCCTGGCCCAAACTTCTTCCTGGGTTTAGAACATCCTTTCTTCCATAGCTCCACTTCCCCTCCCCCACACACCCATTCCCCGCCCCCATCCAAGAAGACTGACTTACCTTCCTTCCTGCAGTGGAGAAAGGTGGAAACACTTTGAAGCACATCATTAGTACTCCCATGGTGGCCACTAGGGGTCTCTAGAGAGCAGGGTTGCAGGGAATAATCTTCTATTTCATTGTGTGTTGTAAAGCCCTCCTTTCATAACACAAGAAAACACACACACACACACACACACACACACACACGTCATATTATAGCTACGAGTTGCCATGCTGCTTGTTGCCATGCTCCTGGCTGGGCTAGGGAGGAGGGAAAAGGTAAGATGCAGAGTTCTTTGGCTTGGTAGGTTTCAGGCTCCGTTTGGAAAGCAGCAGCTGCTATACACAGCCGCAGATTTGTTTGGTTTTAGGTTCTCGGTGAAGTGGGAGCATCTTGCATCATTTCCAGTAATGAAGTGCCTGGGGCTTTTATTTATTTATTTAAATGGCTGGTTCTCTGATCCTCCCCTCCTGGGATTTGCATAATAGCTTTACCTCAGGAAGCCGGGGTTTTGTAGCAACTTGGGTGTCTCTTTAAAAAGAGTTAAAGCAAGCAACTCTCCAGTTGTAGCATGTGAAACAAACTTTTACGTCTTTAGATCCTCTTGAGAACAATGTTATGTTTGATTAGCAAGGGGAGAGTTCTCCCTCCGGTTCTTTCCTGGCCTGGTATCAGCTGAATAGATCTCCCAAGTCAGACATGCCCAGGCACGGGGGCATTCGTCTGGCATTAGGAAGCGTCTAGAATACTGGTTGCTAGCAGCAGGCGACTGTTAAGAACACAGGATTTGCTTCATTCTCCTCCATTTCCCTGGTCTCCCTCTTTTTTCCCCCCTCACCGCCTCGACCCCCACGGCGGGACATTAAGAAATAAAAGTACCTTTGCTGGGAGCTCCTGGATTCAGAAGGAGAGAAGGTCCAAGAAGGACCCTCTTAGAATGCATTCTCACTGCGGAAGGGCCATAGCCATAGCCCCCTTCCCTCAACTAAGCCCAAAAAGAAGATCTTAGAAAATGTTCTGTTAACCTGGACAGCTAGCTTTTCTACCTTCAAGCTTTCCTGACCAAGGTCCACCTTTGTACCTGAGTCCTTTTCCATTTATTCTGTATATCTTATACACTTATTTTCATATTATCATCCACATTAGAATGGGATCCCCTCGAGGACAAGGTCTCTGGTTTTGTTTTTCTTTTCTCAGTGCTTAGCACTAATAAGCCATAAGCCACGTGGCCCAAAGTGTGTGAGGAGAGTAATGTGTAAGAAGACCAGCAAGATAGGAAAGGATCAGATTTTAAATGGCTTTAAATGGCCAACAGAACAGATTATTTTAGTCTAGAGGCAATGATGCGGTTTAGGGGTTCAGGGGTCCTGGGACCCCAAAATCACACGGGTCCTGTCCAAAAGAATTCGACCCAAGCCTTCTTTCAGCCAAAGACAATGTTTATTAGAACATCCATCATATTGGGCAGACTCTTAAGGACTCTAAATCTTAGTAAGAAGTGGCTAGATTATAAGAACCTAAGCATCTTACTGCAGATGAGCTGGACCTTATATACAGAAAGACTGTGGGAGGGATCTAGGAGTGGCCAAGTAGTCTATGAGGTACTAGAATTCCAGGGAAATGGAGCCTAGATGGGACCAAGGGTGGGAAGTGGCCTGGGACAATAGGGAGGCAAGACCATTGGAGGGGAGATTGGGTGTAGCCACAATGAAAGGCCAGTTGATGGGATTATAGGCTCAACAAATGTCAGAGATTTGGCCATGTGGGAAAGTCCAGGGTTTTTCCTTTCTGGGGTCCAGATCCTAACCCCATCAGCAATAGGTAGCCACTGGAGCTTAAATGAGTAGGGCGGTCATATGGGCAGACCTGCCTTTTAAAATCTCTGGCCCCTGTGTAGAAGATGCCGTACATAAGGCAGGGAGAGAGTTGAGGCAGAGACCACTGAAGCAATAGTCCAAGTGAGAGGACATGATGGTTGTGAGAGTAGACAGAAGGGGGTGTAGATAAGCAATATTATGAAGGCAGAAACAACAAGGTTTAGCAACAATTTAGATATCTAGAATAAGTGAGAGTGAAGGGTCAAGGATGATACCAAGATTGGGAACCTACATGTTTGGAAGACTGGTGGTGCCTTCAATAGTAATAGGAAACATCAGAAGAAGAATGGATATGAGGGGAAAGATAATGAGTTGTATTTTGGACATGTTAAATTTGAAATACTTACAGGACCTCTAGTCCATTAGGCAGTTGGTGATTGGGATGAGGCAGCTAAGCAACTCAGTGGATAGAGTGCTGGGCCTGGAGTCAGGAAGAACTGAGTTCAAATCCTACCTCAGACCCTAGCTATATGACACTGGACAAATCATTTAACCTCCATTTACCCTAATCTGATGGAGAAGGAAATGGCAAACCACTACCATTATCTTTGCCAAGAAAATCTCATGGACAGTATGGTCCATGTCCACAGGGTCACAAAGAAGTGGACATTGATGGGAATGGGATCTGAACCCCTAAAAGGAAAAGACTGTGTCTTTGGGATCTGGACCCCCCAAAAAATCCCTGGACTTGTCCCAAATCTCTGGCGTTTGCCCAAGACTGTAACCCACTCAACTGGCCTTTCTTTGTGGCTGCAACCAGTCTCCCAGTTCTGTTCTGTTACCTCCCAATTGCTCCTAGCCACTTCCTACCCCTAATCCTATCTAGGCTCCATTCTCCCTTGGCCACATGGTCCAGGTCCCTGGTGTTCTGTTCACCCTAGCTTACTGGCCACTCCCATCCAGATCCTCTTTAGACCACTCCTCCAGTCACCCCAGACTACTTGGCCATTCCATGTATCCCTTCCACAGTCTTTCTGTATATAAGGTCCATCTTGTCTCCTTTAAGGTGCTCAGATTCTTATAACCTAGCCAATGGCTCAGTAATGTTCAGGTTCCTTAAGAGTCTGGCCAATATGATGGATGTTCTAATAAACCTTGTCTTTGGCTGAAGGAAGGCTTGGGTCAAATTCATTTCGGCAGGACCTGCGTGTTGTGATTTTGAGGTCCCAGCACCTCTAAACCTCAACAGACATGACTGAACAGCAACAATGTGGGACTAGAGCTCAGGAGATAAACTAGGCTGCAGATAGAGCTACGTATGTCTATATTGATATATATCAATATCTATGTGTTGATATCTACATATAGTATCTGTAAGTATAGATATCTGTACATATTATCAACATACTTACATACATATACGTTTATGTGCAACACTTATCTAGAATTCTTCCTAGAGGTGACAATTGAACTTAGAAGGACTGATTAGATACAAAAGTGAGAAGGTATAGGGAGTAAAAAGAGAAGGGCCCAGAACAGAGCCTTAGGGAACACCCTAAGCAAAGGAGCCTGAGAAGGAACAATCAAGAAATAAGAGGAGAATCAAGAGAGAGCAATGTCAGAAAAATCCCGAGAGAAGAGAATATCCAAGGAGGAAAAACGTTGTGAAAGGCATCAGTGCTGCAGAGGTCCAGGGTTGACGATTGAGAAACAGCCATTAGACTTGCCAATGGAAGATCTCTGGTAACTTTGGAGAGAGAAGTTTCAGTTGACTGATGATGAGGTTGGAAGCCAGACTAGAAACAAATTAAAGAAGAAGAAATGGAGGCACTGATTGTTGGCAGCGTTTTCAGAGTTTAGCTGAGAAGGGAAGGAGGAAAGATGTACGAAGATAGATGGAAGATTTTTTCTTAAGGCTAGGGGACACTTCATTAAGCATGTTAGTAACGAACAGGAAAGGAACCAGGAGACAGAGAGAGACTGAAAGTAAGAAATTGAGCCTATACTAGAAAAGATGAAGGGAAGGGATCAAGGGTTCACATAGATGAGTTGATGTTGTAGAGGAGAAAGGCTATTTTTCCCAAAGGTGGAGATAATGAGGGGGTCATGTCAGAGGGATAGGAAACGAAATGAGCTCTCCACGAATGGCCATTATTTTCAGCTGAGGCCTACAGCTGAGAGGGTGGGGAAGGCAATGGTGTAAGAAGCTTGAGGAGAAAGGAGGTTTGGAGTAGTTGCTGTGTGAGAATTGTCTGCTACAGTGAGGGACCAGTTAAGATCAGATAACAAATTTGTAGTGGACATTGTCAGTATAGTCTTGTTACTGATTCAGCCTGTTAAGCAGCACATAAATAAATGGTGGGAATAATCCAGGGTTGGGTCTGACAAAGGGTGATCTTTGATAAAACAAGGAGGTAAGGGATTGAGAATAGGGGATGGCTAGTAGACTTGAACTAGTTCACAAAGTGATCAAAATTGGGAAGGATAGAGAGTGTAGCCAGAGTAATGGGGATAGCTTGAGAAAGTACTGAGAGATAGAGGGATTGGAGGTCACAATAAGGTCAGGGAATAGAGTTAGGGGTAGGAAGACTTAGGTAAAGATGGTATGATAAAAGATTATCTGATGATATGAGGGAATTTCGGTGTCCTTGAACATGGAAATAGAACACTTGTGAGTTTGGGCAAAATGTGACCATCGCTATGTGTATCTGAAGTCCAGTGGAGGAAAGGTCATGGGAATGAAGAAGTAGGAAGGAAATTGGGATATTTTCTGCCATACTCTTTTCCAGTTTTCCCAGCAGTTTTTGTCAAAGAGTGAGTTCTTATCCCAAAAGCTGGGGTCTTTGGGTTTATCAAATAATAGATTACTATAGTCCTTGACTATTGTGTCTTTAATACTTAACCTATTCCACTGATCTACCACTCCTATTTCTTAGCCAGTACCAAACAGTTTTGATGATTGCTACTTTATAATACAATTTAAGAACTGGAATGGCTAGGCCACCTTCCCCTGCATTTCTTTTCATTAGTTCCCTTGATATTCTGGACCTTTTGTTCTTCCAAATGAATCTCGTTACTATTTTTCTAACTCTATAAAATAATTTTTTGGTAGTTCGATTGGTAAGGCACTGAATAAGTAAATTAGCTTAGCTAGAATCGACATTTTTATTATATTAGCTCGGCCTACCCATGAGCAATTGATGTTTTTCCAGTTATTTAGATCTGATTTTATTTGTGTGAAAAGTGGTGTTTTGTAATTGTGTTCATAGAGTTCCTGGGTGAAATTGGGATATTTTAAGGCATATAATTATAAATGTTGAAGTGCCTAAGGCAACAACTGGGGATCAAAGCTAGGTGGGGTCAGATGGGACAGTTACTTAAACATCTATTAAGCACCTATTTTCAAAACACTGCATCTTAGCCTTGAGAATAAGACAAAAGCAAAATAGTCCCTGCCCTCTAGAAGCTTAGATTGTACTAGCAAACACAATATGTACCTATGTAAATAAAAACTAAATATTTCCAAAGTAATACATAATAAATTCAAGAAGGAGGGACTCCTCAAAGCACCAGCCTAAGTAAAGCTACACTTGCTCAAACATATTTTGCAGCAAAAAAAAAAAAAGATCATTGTTGGGTTTTCAAAAGGCTTGCCTATAGACTAAGCAAAGAAAAGGACAGGAGCAAAAGATGTCAAAAGACCAAGTAATTAAGTTAACCAATTAGAGGCTGTCAACAAACTTCAGAACAGTATTTGCCCAGTAAAACCTGATATAGCATCCACCTCAGATAAACTGAAGTTAATTACATTTACATTACATCTCTTTTTCCCTCGAGGGAAAAGACCTAATTGAACTCATAGGACTTGGTGACCATTGTTTTTGTGAATCCCTATGCAACATTCAGATAGTAAATAGCCACCCATCATTCTATTTTATAGTCAAGGAAACCACTCTGAATCACAGGGCAATGGACCAGCAGAACAGTCAAAAAGGAACCATTTACTTAGGTTCATATTTATAGGATGTTTCCTTTGAACAGCCTCAGGAAGTATTTTAAACACGGAAACTCAGGTCACATTCAATGATATATGGTAGTTGCCTTAGGATGATATATTTCAAAGCTATAGTTCATGGGTAGTATTGAGGCCAGCAACAAAGAGACTTGGACATAGATTGTGCATTAGACAAACGTCATTAGAAAGTTCGTGAGGGGCAGCTAGGTGACAGCAGTGGATAGAGCACCAGCCCTGAAGTCAGGAAGACATGAGTTAAAATTTGGCCTCAGACTAAACAAACACTTGACATTTACTAGCTGTGTGACTCTGGGCAAGTCACTTAACCCCAATTGCCCCTCTGCCCCAAAAAAGTGCATGGTATGGGGCAGCTAGGTGGGCACAGTGGATAGAGTGCTGGTCTGGGGTCAGGAAAACTCATTTTCCTGAGTTCAAATTTGACCTCAGATACTTATTAGCTGTGTGATCCTGGGCAAGTCATTTAACCCTTCTTTATCTCAGTTCCTCATCTGTAAAATGAGCTGGAGAAGAAAATGACAAACCACTCCAGCATCTTTGCCAAGAAAACCCCAAATGGGGTCACAAAGAGTCAGACACAATGGAAAAAAGATTGAAAAGCAAAATGGTAAAAGTTGAGTGCTGGCTGGCAAGAATATGGGCTTGGGAAGCGAATTGTTGTTTTTGATCTTTGATTTTTTTCCAAAATCTAGTTCGTGTTATCTTATTATAAGCTCAAAACAAATAGGATATAGTTCTTTCATGACTGTTTGATGTAGTTAAGATTGTATGGAGAGTTTTGTTTGGGATTTTTTTAAACTTCCATTGTTTTCCCTTGACCTCATAGTCAGCTGGTATCTGATGAGCCTGAGGGAGAAGGGAAAAGAAAGTTCACCATGGATCTGGGTGTCTGGTCCTTAGCTCTTTAGGGGCATAGAAACTTGGTGTTAACAAATTTCCCAGGGGTTATCAAGTTCTGGGGAATTGAATCACAACAACCAAACTCTTATGATTGATTTGTAAGATAGAATTTTATTTTATTAATTTACCATGTGTATATGTCAGATATATCTTCTAGTGTGTTTGTATATATTGTATAAGTTTGTGTGTTCATGAGGTATACCTAGTATATTTCAGTTGTTTTTTCAGTCGTGTCTGACTCTTCATGGCCCCATTTGGGATTTTCTTGGCAAAGATATTGGAGTAGTTTGCCATTTCATTTCTTCAGCTCATTTTACAGATGAGGAAACAGAAGCAAACAGGGTGAAGTGACTTGCCCAGGGTCACATAGCTAGTAAGTGTCTGAGGCCAGATTTGAACTCAGGAAGATGAGTCTTCCAGATTCCAGGCCCAATAGTATATCTACCTCACCACTTAGCTGCCCATACCTAGTATATACAGATGTATCTCAGTAGGCCATTATACTCAGAAAAGCAAAATATGGATCACCAATCCTTACTTGATGAACAAAGGATCAGAAAAAAGAAACTAGATCTTACAAAAAAAAAAGGATATTAACATCAAGATAATCTTGACCTAGTGGATTTGTAGTCTGAAGACTTGGATTCAAGTCCTGATTCTTCCCATTACTAGTTGTTTGACTTTGAGCTATTATTTAACCTTTTGGGGCCCAAAGTTTTCAGCAGCAAAGGATTGGGTTCAAATCCCACCCTTGATGCTCATTACTTTGGGTAACTCATAACCATGCTGGGTCTCAGTTTCTTCCTCTGTAAAATGAGCGTGTTAGAATAGCTATTCTCTGAGGTCCCCTTCAGATCCCCACCTCCTAGTGTTGTGGAATAAAGTGAGATAATATTTGTACTTTGCTACTTAGATCTATGTGGGCAGCAAGATGACACAGTGGATAGAGTGTTGGCCTAGAGTTGGGAAGACTCATCTTCATTAATTCTAATGTGACCTCACATACTTTCTAGCTATGTGACCCTGGTCAAGTCACTTAACTTGTTCCTCAGTTCCTCATCTATAAAATGAGCTGGAAAAGGAAACAACAAAGCATTCCAGTATCTTTGCCAAGAAAACCCCAAATGTGGTCAAGAAGAATCAGCCACAACTAAAACAACTCAACAACAAAAAAACCTCTAGATTTGTAGACTACTGTAGACAGCTATAAAAGAGGGATGCAAATATGAGCACTAGCCCCAACTTCCTTATATTTCTGAGGTTCAAATGAAATACTGTCTATGAAGCACTTGCAATATAAATGTAAACTATTAATATCTTTTCCCATCATAGAGATAATTTTGTCCATGATGGCATTAGAATCCAGCATCATTTGGATGGTACTGGAGAAACACTAGAGTTTCCATGCTTTTTCAGTATTCTTTATCAGTCACCAAAAACTTCTGCCATACAAACTTACCATGTAACTGGATTACAGCCTACTTTGCCTTAATTACATTAACTTGGTATCTTCCTGGTGAGAATTTAAAGTTGGTACCCTAGGTTACATGATGGGTATTTGGAGACAATTAAAAATGATTTTGTTAGGTCGTTTGATTCCCTGGCTAATTTCACACTTTATTTGTTCATTCTTGTTAGTGTCTACTTGGGAAAGTAGTTGTATTTTCTGATTCTGTCCCCTCTGCTCTATCATTATATTTTATCAGTTAAAAATGTTCAATGTCTTAGTGTGTTTGTTTCATGTGCCTTAACTTCTGATGAATGGTTAGCTGCCAATTCAGAAAGCAAAACCCAAACAGAAATCATACTGTCCTTGTTTTCACTGTCTTCCAGTGTCATCTTGCATTACAACATATAAGAAGACACCACCTCCAGTCCCACCAAGAACTACCACAAAACCTTTCATTTCTATCACAGCCCAGAGCAGCACAGAATCTGCCCAGGATGCCTACATGGATGGACAGGGGCAAAGGGGAGATATTATCAGTCAGTCTGGACTTAGCAACTCCACGGAAAGCTTGGATAGTATGAAGGCTCTGACTGCTGCCATCGAAGCTGCTAATGCCCAGATCCACGGACCAGCCAGTCAGCATATGGGGAGCAATACTGCCACGGTCTCAACCACCACCACTACAGCCACAGTCACTGCAGAAGAAAGAAAGAAAGACCACTTCAAGAAAAACCGATGTCTGTCTATTGGAATACAGGTAACAAATCTGATGTCTGGTTTTCTTTAGATCTCTGTCCATCTCCCCTCCCTAACCAAAGCCTAGCAAATGCTCAGCTCCTGGGAGCTGATAAATGCTTGCCAATCGACTGATTTGATACATTAGCATTTTCTGCTTCCCTGGAGTTGGAGGATTCAGATTCAGAGTTGAAATACTTTGTTTCTAATGTCCCCTCTCCCCCAATTTTTTGACTATTTTTATTTTGTTGCATAAGTGCTCACCTGACCAAATTCTCAAATACTTAGGGTTTTTTTTTTACCCAGTAAATAATTGAATTGTTCCCTAACTTTAATGCATTCCTCAAAATGAAGAGCAAATAAACAAATGTGAGGCCTGGCAGCCAAACAGAGTAAAGTTGTCAGATTGGTCACCCTGGTGAACCTTTCCTAGTTTTACACTCAGCAAAGAAGTCATTTCCTTGGACTCTCAGGGTTGGGCCAGTTGGTGAACTAAAAAGTTTAGCCGCTCACTTAGCAGCTGCAATGGCAAATATGTGAATCACTTCACACACAGGTGGGAGGGATGGAGTCAGGCAAGGCCAGAGCAAAGTAAGCCAGAGAGTTCAAAGCATTCATTTATTTACGGCAAACCCAAGCTCCAAAAAGTCTTGCATCCAACTCCGCTGAATTGTCCCTAATTATTCATGCATAGCATAAAACTGTTAGTCCATTCAGCTGGCCTCATAGTTCAATTAAGTGTTATCTTTTCCTCAAAAGATAAGATCCATCTGATTCCCACTTGTTTTAAGTCAGCTAAGCTTAGTTCCCTCAGCCTGGAAATCTCCTCCCCAATTCCTTCACTTACAAAGGAGGTCAACCTAATCCTTCTCCTTCAGTTTGGGTGTAACCTGTGTCGTCTCGCAGGTGATTTTTGAAGGGGAACAGCCAGAGTTCATGCTTCAAACACTTTAGCCACACCAGACCAGCTTCAGAAACCTGACTGAGGCCAAAACATCAGACGGGAATACATGGCAGAAGCAACTGTTTAGCTCTGTAGAAAGCTCCCCAACCTCACCACCTTTAAAAAAAAAAAGGCAGTTAGGTGGTACAATGAGTAGCATAGTGGACTAAGCATGAAGACCATGAATCTTGCCTCAGCTGGGCACCGTCCGGTCTCCACTTCAGTTTCCTTAGCTGTAAAACGGAGATTAATTTACCTATCTTCCAGTATTATATAGCGAGAGTAAATTTTAGTATCTCAGTAAGACAGTAGGAACAAGTTTGTGAATTTAACATAAGTAATGTGGTGAAAATATGTTATATTACCTTAAGATAGTTCATGAAGAGGCAGCTAGGTGGTACAGTGAATAGAGCTCTGGCCTTGGAGTCAGGAGGACCTGAGTTCAAATCTAGCCTCAGACATTTAACCCTTACTAGCTGTGTGACCCTGGGCAAGTCACTTAACCCCAATTGCCTAAGCCAAAAAAATACATATATATAGTTTCTGAACTTAGCATAACTGATTCCATTTTGTTTTAAAGCTCAATTTTGTAATTCACCTGTTTTGAATAAGTTGTTTTTCTTTAAGTTGTTTTTCAACCCTAGGGTTTGGGAAGGACCGACTGAGATAACACATAAAGTAGGTTTGTTGTTGAGGGGACGTGGAGGAAGTCTTAAACAACTAGCGTGTTAAAAGGATGAGTTTATTAGATTAGTTGCTTGTCACCTTGAAAAGGCCAGGAGAATCTAAACTAAGAGCCTAAGGTGTGAGACTGGAAGGAATAGAGGAAAAAAGAAGAGGTAAACATGGAGTTCTATGAAGAGGGAAGAGCAGGGAGGAAAAAAGAAATTGGTGAGTGAAGACCTAAATGACCCCCTCCCCATCCCAGGATAAGTGCTGTGCTTTGAGCAGTGGGGAAAATATCAGAGTGTGAGGACAAATCCTATTCCTGATTCATCATTTGTGGTACTAAAGTGTTTGCATGTTAATCAGATTAGTCAAGCCCCAGGACAGACTCATTCATATATTTACTTCATTTGTTTTGGCTAAAAAAAACCCACAGGAGCCAATTATTGACCTAGCAGCGTTTTGGGAAACAAAACTTTATTCCATTGGTGAATCATTTTCGGCTACCACTACCCCAAGAGAATTGGTAGTTGAGAAATAGTGTGGAAGGAAGAGAACGTTCTCCAAATGCCTCTCCATAGAGACAATAGCCCTTTCTTTCCCTTTTACCTTCCCTTGTGGAAACGAACACTTCCTCAAGTTCAGTACCAGAGAGGCTTCATCAGTCCATTAAAATCCAACAGCGCTCCTTAAGGTCCAACAATCAGCTACTACTCTTTATGTCTTCTTTCACTACAGACTTTTGAGGCTTCTCTCCCAGTGGATAGAGTGCTGGGCCTGGAGTCTGGAAGATTCCTCTTTGTGAGTTCAAATCTGGCCGGAGACACTTACTGGCTGTGTGACCCTGGCAAGTCCCTTAACTTTGACTCAGTTTCCTCATCTGTAAAATGAGCTGGAGAAGGAAATGGCAAATTTGACTGAAATGTTCAGACCTGTATCTGCTTTTTGCTCTTACCCCCACCTAGAATGCCTCCCCACCTTCCTTTACTGATATTGATATTCCCTTGATGCTTCCTTCAAGGCCCACCTTATGACCTGCTTCCAGGAAGCCATTTCTTTAGCACCTTTACTCTGTACTACAAATTCTGTCACTATTAGATAGTACAAGGTTTCTTCACTTTTTCTGTGTCATGGATCCCTTGGGAGCTCTGGTGAAGCCTATGGACCCCATCTCAGAATAATATTTTTAAATGCACAAAATACAGAAGATTACAAAGGAAACAAATTATATTGAATTGAAGACATAACCCCCAGTCCAGTTCATTGTTCACTAGTTGTTTTTTACAACATCTCCCCAGTTAGAGTAAAATTCCTTGAAGGTAGAAACAAGTGTTTTCTACTTACTTGTGTCTACTACAATGCCTCTAGGAGTGTTGCATACTCAATAATTACATAATGAATTTTGACACTTGGCAGTGTGATGTGGTGGAAAGTCAGATTAAAAGGTCCTGACTCTGGCACTTAACTTCCAATCTCAACTTTGGAAGGTCATTTAAATTATCTAAGCCTTGGTTTCATATATGAAAGTGCTTAGCACAGTGCCTGGCATACAGTAGGAGCTTAAAAAATTCTTGACTAAAAGAAGTAAGTTGGATTTGAGAACCTTCCGGCTCAATATGTCATCCTGAGATCCTGATCTTCAGCATAGCTGATCCTGACCCCTACATAGTATTCCTTAAATCCTCACCCTAAATTTGGATCCAGTTTGCACCCTGGTACAGTGGATGGCCTAGAGTCAAGAAGACCTAAATTCAAATCTTCTCTCAGATACTTGGGCAAGTCACTTAACCTCTGTTTGCCTCAGTTTTCTCATCTGTAAAATGAGAATAATAGACCTACCTTCCAAGGTTGTTATGAGAATTAAATGAGATAAGCATTGTAACGTGCTTAGCATAATGCCTGACACGTAGAAAGTGCTATGGATAAATGTTAACTACTATCATAATTTTTAAAATTTAGAATTGATATTAGGATCAAGCATTTAAAGGGGGGGTACAAGGGGCATTAGAAGGCATCTAGGCCAATATCTCATTTTACAGAAGAGGAAACTGAAGTCCAGAGAGATTAAATGACTTGTCCAAAGTCATACAGGTAGTAAAAATGCCAAAGGCAGGATTGGAACCAAGATCTTAACTCCAAATCTTGTACTCTTTCTATCATACTGTGGGTTTTATATCTCTTCTCACCTTAATTAATACCCAGTTTCTCTTTTATCTTTATCTCAAACACTTACCAACTTCTGCTGGTGAATCACTTTGCATAAAAGATTAATGTGTCAGAAATCAGTTCTTTATTGCAGTTACATTCGCTCCAGCCTGATAAGATTACTCACAAACCACATATGATTTGGTGAGTGAGAATATCTTTTGCCAAGGAAGACATTCTATTTTATAAATGTTAGGATGCTTGAATTTGCAATTAAAACTCTGTAACCTACTCTTAAATGATCTCTGACAGTTTCCCATTGTCCGTAATAATCAATTTTTAAATGCTGTTATGAATCAAATTCATGAGTGTTTCTAAGTTATCAAATATTCCCAGAAGTAAAGGAGGACATGTGTCATACTCATTCTAAGTATAGTTTACTGTTCTCTCCTAAACATCAGCAGAAATAGGTAATACATCTGTGTCTGTGGGTGTGTATAGGCTAATCAGTGTTAGCTTACTGCTGGGACATGCAGGTTGGGATCCTGAAGTCCCCTTAGGTCCCGAGTCTTACTAGAGCTGCTTAGACTATAATTGTACAAGTAGATTATAAATATCAGGTTTCACCATGCTGGGTCCTTAGCTCTGTTTCATGAGTTGCTGTGGTTAAAAGCAATTCAGAATTTAATGGCCAATCTTTAGAGCCTCAGTGAATTTAGCCAGGCTGGTTCTCAGACACACACCCAACCCATCATGAGGCTCATATTCCAAACTTTTCCATCTAAATAGGATCTATGCTGTGCTAGCACAACTTTTGAGAATCCCTAGTCACCTCCATTCCACAATCAGGTGTCAGAATAGGATTTTAGTGGGAATATGTACAAAGTATACTCTTAGTAATGCCTAGTGCATTAAACATATTTCAAATAAGAATTATTATTACTCCTTTTTACAGGAAATAGATGTGGAATACTTAGGAATAACGAGACATGGATTTGTTCACATGTGTCTTTGAGTATAAAGACACAGGTAATTTCCTGTAGAAAGTGGTGATTTTTAGTAAATAATAATAATAATAGTGTTGATAATGGTAATAATAATAGCTAACTAGCATGTGTATCATGCTTTAAGGTTTGCAAAATGCTTTACAAATGTTATCTCATTTTGTCCTTAAAACAACCTGGGGAGATAGGCACTATTATTATCTCCATTTTACAGATGAGGAAACTGAGGCAGAGATTTCAAAAAATGACTTGTCAGGGTTATAC